CAGCACCTATATGGGATGCCGACACTGTAGGCAGCGGCTTTACCCAATATGCCACAGTGCCAGCTCCAAAAGAAATAAATCTTTACAAAACAAAAAAATCTTGACCTGTCAAATTTAGTCTGAGCTTTGAATTGGACATTTCAGGGTTATGCTTTATGAGTTTGTGTCAAAATATTTCATTATACCTCATAACAATGTACCTGTGTTATTTATTAATGAAGATATTTAAAAATAAAACAGTCTATAAAAATCAATTGGTCTGACTCGATGAAGTATTTCTACTTAGGTTTAAATCCACCTTCTAGCAGCATGTGCAGGGTATCAGATATTTTCTTCTTGGCTGGTATGTGAGAATAGCCATACAGGTTTCCAACTCACAGACTAGTACCTGTTACTCTTGGATATTCATAGATTTCCTGATCCATTATGTATAATTTATCTCATTTTTATAGCTGTCCCATTTGAGCAAATAGTGTGTTGTTGGGTTTCTGGTACCTTTTGGGTGAACTTTAGTCTTTATTTGCTGTGTCCATTCATGGTGAATATCTTATCTGGAGAATTGAAAGTAGAGTTTTGCAGTTGAGGTGAACAGCTTTACTTGGAAGGATAGAAGAGAAGGTTCTCCTTTTCTATGATAATTCATTCACAAATAACTTACAAACAGAAGCTAGGAGAGCCGAGCTGTGACGAAGGACTCTCTCAAGTTACCTGTTTACTTTTGCTTCTTGAGCTGCTACACATTATACACGTAAAAAGCATACATGGTCTTTATTGACTGTAAGTAGCAGGAGTTGTAATAAGCATTTTTCATTCATATCGTAAATAGTCTCACAAATCTAATGTGGAGGCTTGAAAACATTTCACAAATGAAACCATGTATCTCAGGTTAAATTGCCCAAGAACACAGAGCCAGGAGTGCCTTCTCAGGTCACTATTTCTGTTTTGCTTTCTCCCAAACCGATTGAGTTTTTTTCTTTAAAAAATAACTTTTAACCTTAAAATAGTTTTAAATTTACAAAACAAAATTGTGAAGTAGTACAAAAAGGATTTCTCATATGCCCCCATACTCAGCTTCCCAGTTAACATCCTGTGTTAGTATGATGCACCTGTCACAATCTGAAAAAGCACTGAGCTTCCCCCGTCATAGCATTTCTAGTATGTAATAGTACAATATTTTTTTCACAGTGAATGAAACATATCCAACTTCCCCTGTGTTTTAAATCCTAGCTCTTTCCACCACTCCCCCTCCTCACAAAGACAGCCCCATCAAAGTGTTTCTGATGCAGTTAATCTGTCCATGTGGGCTGCTGTTTTTCTTACAGTGGGCAGCCAGGTGTATAGCCACAATTCTTGCCATGGCTTTCATGGAGCCCACTTGTTTCATAGTTGATGAATTTCCATGGTGACTCTTGACTCACTGAGGATCTCTTGAGATCTTATTTCCTGGGCTTTGAAAGATGCTTCCCCTTTCATCTCTTAGTAATTGTTCAGAAATCAGGACCTTTCTTATGTGCTCAGTGTTGGCAAATAAACCTGTATTACCTGCTGTGTGTGTCAGGCTTCCTCTCCTAGTTTCTCCACATTTGACAGGGACATTGTCGTGGGGGAAATAAAACCCACTATGAGCAAGGCAGCTCAAGAAACAGGCCCCACAAAATTTTATAAAATCTTACTATAACCTTTATGTTGCCTTTACAAAACTCCAGAATAAGGACTCAGAAGGATACTCAGAATTTGATAATTAGTTTTGATAATAAAGGTATATTTTAGGATATAATAATAAAATTATAAATTAAAATGGACAGTTTTTATTTATTTTAATCAAGTAAATTAACTATATATTATTTAATTTGTAAGCTCTATGATGTGATTTGAAGGAAAATATGAACTGAGTGACAGAAGCATCTTAATCATTGTAAAAAAAAATCTGCCCAAAACTTCAACTAGAGAGTCCAAAATGACAACTAGTTTGAAATATAATTGTCACAGATAAATATAAAAACAAAGATGATATATTTAATCCCCCAAATTACTACTTTTCAAATTTGATAATTGAATGAATAAATATGTGAGATGTCTTCAAGGAGTTCATGGACATGCATATTATGAAAAAAAGATGCATGGATTTCAAAATTCTTCGCACCTGAATAAACTTATCTTTAACTCCATGCACATTTTGTATACCTTCCTATTTGAGAAGAATTATAAATTTTCACCATGTGAATATAAAAGTATTTTTTTTAAACTGTGGGTTTATGAGTTAGCTTCACATGCTATACTTTTTAGCAGGTAACTTAAAAGTCTTAAGATGAATTGCAATATTTGAAAAGTCAGTTATTTGCAACTTCTAACCACTTTTTCCTTGTATGTTAAAAAGTTAAAACATAGTATTTGATGTGAGTTTCAGAATAGTTTTGGAGTAGGGTACCATTTGCATTTTATATTGTATGAAGTCTTCTGTCACAATATTTCTTCCACATTATAAAGCCAAGTTTTATAACAAGTGAATACAATTTTTTTCTATAAAATGTTTTGACAGTGAACTATTGAAAGTAAGTAATTAGAAAAAGGAAGATTTACAGAAACTGAAGAAAGAACAAAATCAGCCTTCACTTATTATTCCTATGGTACATTATTTACTATTTCATTTTTATGACATATCTGTTTCTTGCATTGTCTCATTTAAGATGAAAATCTGTGAAGATAGTTCATCTCTTAGTCATCTTTGTTTTCTTACCTTCTAACTTAATTCCACTAAATAAACATTTTATTATTTCTTTCTTATTTTCATATAAAGTAATTTCAGAAGGAATGATTTTCTAAGAACGTGATGCTTATAATTATCAAATGCTAGAGAAGACAAAATAAGTATAGAAACTTATAGGACTTGACAATTAGGAGAATGGCCTTTTTTTTAATCTTCTGTGTGTCTTCTGCCTGCCAATTTAAAACTATGCATTGGAATTCTTACATCAAAGTTTTTTCCTTTGTGTTTTTTAGTCTCAAACTTGACTGTACAAAAATGTAATTGTTGAGGTTTTAGGAAGCCAATAAATAATACTTTTCTCCTAGCTTATTTTCAGGAAAAATTGAAAGATACTTATCAAATATGTGAAAAATAAAAAATAACTAAAAAATAAAGTATTAGTTATATGATTAATAAATCTTAGATTAGAGGATGTGGTGCAAATGTGTAACCTCAGTAGGGCTTTTATATTTCACTGTTGAACAAGAGAGACGCTTATCCAGCCATGGATACATGTGCAGAGTGGTGGGGTTCATAGAGTACCTCAACATATAACTCCTTAGCATATTGAGCATCTTTCTTTTTTTTTTTTTTTGCTGTGCCATGCTCTTTATTTACATATCAGATTTAATTGCAAGTTTCAACCTCATACAGTGGTGGTGAAGATTAAATAATATTGTTTTTCAAAAATTTTATTTAAGTTATACAATTTTCATGCATTTCATATATACAAATGTATATATACATTTCATATATACATACATACATATATACATATATACATACATACATATATACAAATTTGAGACATAGTAATACTGCACCCTCCCTCCAAACCATGCTCCCAGCTTTCTTCCTCCTCCCTCTCCTATTCCCATGCTGAATTTCTACAAAGGTCAATTTTCAGTTTACTTTATGCTCATAAGTTTAATCCTACACCAAGTAAAGAGTTCAACAAATAGTATGAAGAGAAAACACTGTTCCTCAATAGTCAAGAGCTATAAGCAATCATCACATCTCAAAATGTAAATTTCACTCCTATACATTGCATTTTACATTTTAGATACTGTGTTACTTACCATAGATCAGGGAAAACATATGGTATTTGTCTTTTGGGGATGGCTTATTTCAAGTGTAATGATTTCCAGTTGCATTTTTTTTTTGGCAAAAGACAGGATTTAATATCTTAAGCAGAAGGGATCTGAGAAAAGGCATATGCAGGAATGACGTCCTGGCCTTCCCCTTAAGCAGCCCATAAGACTGTCAACTGAGAGGTAGCAATCCCATACCTGTGGGGAGCAACTGAGACTAGACTAAGTTACTGGAATTAAGACTTATTCTATGCATCTGCTCTCCCACAGTATGGCGCTGAGGGAGCAAACAACCTCTACGCAGCTGCCTCATCAGTTTGACTGATAAGCTGCAGGTGCTGATCCTGCTCCTGATTGGAGGAGAGCAGCGTGCTCGGCGTGTGGGTAGCAGAGTTGGGATTGGTGGAAGAGGACTATAAAGGAGGAGAGAGACACCATGCACTGGGAACATCTAAAGGGAACACCTGAGCAGCCCCCGAGGGAGCCAGCTGGCGGTGTGCCGCTCCCCCACGGAAGTGGGGAAAAGTGCAGGGGGGACCCGCCCTCCCATGGAGGTGGAGGGGATGTTACCCACCCCGGAAAGATCCACCAGCAAACCCGGGGGAGGCCCGGGCAAACAAAAAGACCGCCGCAGGTTCTTTTTTTTTTCCCCCGTGGAACCGGAAAAACCACCGGGGGGGGGGGGGGGGGGCTGCCCATCCACGGAGGCGGGGGGCCGGCAGCTAACCTGGGCCGGCGTCGTTCCTCCGTGAGTGAGGGAATGGCAGCTAACCTGGGAAGAGCCGGGCAGACAAAAGATCAGCGCAGGGTCCAGTGTCGTTCCTCCGCGAATGGGGGAGCGACACATACCCAGGAAACAGGGACATCCCCTCTGAAGACACAGTGACACAGAGGACAATCTGAACTACAATAGGCTTTTTAACGTTTCCCCAGTTTACTGTCATTAGATCATACGTGTTTACCCTACACATTTCTCCACAGCTATTTACTTTTCCTCAACCTTACAATAAATAACACTCAAGTTTAACTGTTTCTTTGGGTCTTCATTTACTTACAAAGACTCCCGTATCACATAAAACTTGCATTCAAGAACAGAGTATGCTTTTGTTTTGTTATAAGGACCTAATATGGATGAGAAAAAAATCTTTTTCTTTCCTTCTCAGGGCATTTCCAAACATACAGATCCCAGAAGGGATGAATCATTCGGCTCATGTTTCTTTTCCTTTGAGAAAGACTGAGTCAAAGGAAGGGCCAACAACCAACAACATAACCATCCCTGCATGGAAACCCAAAGCCAGAGGTATGTAGTTATCTTTACCCTAACGTACCCACATAAGTTAGCTCTAAAGTGCTGTATCTACTGAAGATGAGAAGCTTAATTGGACTAACCCCAAGTAACACAGTCAGTTCTCGTTTTGAATTTAGTTCCTTAGCTCAATGCCCCTTCATCCCGATGTGTAATCTGTGCCTTGGATTTCTCTTCTCCTTTCTTCCTGGGGTTTTCTGTTTTCTCTAAGAGCTACCGTACTTGGCTGGCACTGTGGCTTACTTGGCTAATCCTCTGCCTGTGGCGCTGGCACACTGGGTTCTAGTCTGGGTTGGTGGCCGGGTTCTGTCCTGGTTCCTCCTCTTCCAGTCCAGCTCTCTGCTGTGGCCCGGGAGTGCAGTGGAGGATGGCCCAAGTGCTTGGGCCCTGCACCTGCATGGGAGACCAGGAGAAAGCAGGTGGCTCCTGGCTTCAGATCAGCGCAGTGTGCTGTCTGTAGCGGCCATTTGGGGGGTGCACCAACGGAAAGGAAGACCTTTCTCTCTGTCTCTCTGTCTCTCTCTCATTAACTCTTCCTGTCAAAAAAAAAAAAAAAAAAGCTACCGTACTTTTGTGATATCAGGGGGAGGTGACCAGTCAGGAGTTCTACTGACTTCAGCTCTTTAGCTGATTAGTGGCATGAACTCCCAGGAAAAACTGCAAGATTTAAAGGTAGGTCAAAGAGATTGCTGAATGAATTCCCTCAGTAGAGAGGTGTGGATTGTCATCATGTGTACTTTATGTTTTACTGACTGGCTTATTTGATAACCCTGAAAAGGGACATGCAGGAAACTAGTAATTCTGTAAGTGATTCTTGACAAACTATGAAATGAATTTTGTCCAACAGTAATGTAATTGATTTCTGTTCTGTAGAAAAGATAGCTCCAATAATTTGGTCCAATAGGACAATAGTAAGTCTTGTATCTGTTAGCAAATTCTTTTAAAACTTCTTGACTGCCTATATATACTACTTTTCTTCAACTTCTCCCCTGAACAGATACTAGCATCTTTATCATTCCCTCTTTAATAAGTTGGAAAAAAATTCAGCAATATGCTTTTGTTATTTGAAGGAGTGTCATGATTTTACCTTCACATAGTTTATCCTTTAACAGCCTTATGAGTGGTCTAGGGAATCCACCTGTAACATTGCTATACCGTTTGCTGAGGTTCATAGCTATTCTAGCTAGTTGTTCTATCAAAAGCAAAGCATAGCGATGATTCCCAGGTTGTGATAATAAAGGAACTCTCATTGTTCTCCCTGGCCTGTATCTGTCCTCTCTTACTGACACTTAGGCTTACTGTCCTCCCTAGCATCCACTTAGGTTTACTCAGATGCAACAGCTGTTCCCAGCTTGACTGGTTATCCTTAATCTTACTTTGGAGATTCCTACCCTTCCTCATGAAGACTGACTTCATGGTCTCCTCCTACAAGTCCTTAGCTACTTCTTTGGTCCTTGTGCACACAAGAGCATTTAAAGTCTCCCCTAGGTTCAAGCAGAGTGGGGTCAGTCTTCTCGGGGTCACAGTCAGGTGACTGTTGCCTATATATATTGCAATGCAGTGTAAACTCTGTTGCTTCCTATATGGGTATCTTGAAGCATGCTATGAAGCCTTCCCCATCTACATTTCTAATCTAGAAATAGGAAAAAACCCTCTTTTACTTTCGAAGTTCCAAATATATCTAGACATTTCTATCACCTCCTCTATTTGGTTTCAATCTTAAAACATGGAGGACATAATGCAAAAGCCCCACACTAACACATAATTCTCCCTGATTTTTCTCTGAATCCTCTTGAAACTTCTCCCCACAGCCTGGAAACAGCCCTTATTAGGTGGGAAAACTTCTTCACTTTTCTAGTACAGAATCCTTTTTCATTCTGTGATCCAAAGCATGAGAAGCTATATTCCCTACATCAGCCAGGCTTTGCTGATGTGTGGAATAGATTATAGAATATCTAAACAGCTATTACTTTTCATGACTTTCAGCATCAATATGTTCTTGGATTTTATCATATTGCTTAACTCTGCATTAAAGTTGAAAGCTAAACAATGGCTTTTTCATTCCAGGAGAGATTTTTCTCCCCCACTCTACTTGTTCCCTCCTTATTCCTTTTTCCATATACTACCAGAGCAATGACTAATTCTTTATTCACAGTAGGAAAAGAGCCACTGGGCAACTTAAGTCCTAGGAATAACCGAGGATAAAAAATGCAACGTTGGCAACATTGGACATTTTCTAGTTTTTCTACTTATATCATAATTCTACAAGACAGGGGATAGTACTAGCATATTTCATTCTAAATGTTACTTTAATTACATTTCTCAAAACATTCTTTTGAATTTCAGGTGAAGAGTAGTGGAAAATCACTGTTAATATTGTATTAGATAAAGAAATTAATACTGTATAGAAAAAGAAAACCTCCATTCATTGTGATCCAGAGCTCTGAGAGTATCTATATTCCTATTGCAAATAATAAATTCAAGTTTTAAGAGGATAACATTTAAAAATCTAATAAACCTATCTTAAAATTTCTAACAAAGTGCATAAAAACTATAGACTCTTGCAAATTAGATTGCTTTCTTCAAGTGTTTCTTGTGAAGAACCACATATGGACTTCTATTTTTAGACTGTTTTGGCTATTCTAATACATTTTGTTGGATAGCACAAGGCAATGGTTATCAGCTTTTCTGCACTTCCAAAGCACCAAGACACCTGATGTTCACCCATTTGTAGCAATTATTTTAGGACAGCAGTATCCTACATGGACAACAGGAAAGGGAAGAGGGTAGTATTGGTGAGGTCTATTACTTTTTCTTTTGCTATAACAGAATACCTGAAACTGGAAAGTTTATGAAAAACAGAAATTTTATTTTTTGGTCTCCTGGAGGCTGGGAGCACAGAATCAGCATCTGCTCACCTTCTGCTGATGAAGGGCAAGTGGTACTGGTGGAAAAGTCAGAACACAAGAGTCGGTTCACTTGCTAACAAGGTGACTTAGTCCCTTCTGGATGCCCTTGATCTCTCTTTACAACCCAATCTCTTCTTAAAATCTTGCCCCCCAATAGCACCACAATTTCAACATGAATTCCAATTTCATGTTGAAAGGCATTCCAATTTCAACATGAGTTTTGAGAGGAGGATAAACCACATTCAAACCATAGCAGATCTTATATCGTCTGAAAACTCTGAAATATTTCTGAAATTTCTTCCCCACAATTCCACCACAGAAGGAGTCCAATCTCCCAGGATGTACAAGTGCAGAGGAGTTTTTTCAACCCTCATCTTGTGCATGTAGTGCTGTACTCAGAAACAAAGCATTGGAAGCGATAGATTTTTTAAAACAATTAATTTGTAATTAAAACAATCCAACATAGAAAAAATCCTCTATTTCCCCTTATATTTGAAATTCTCAACAAAGTCTTTTCTGTGGTATTTAAATTATCATCCAACATTAACAGAGTTATTTGATTTGGGACATTTTATAAATCTGAAGCATACAAACAAAAATAAAGATAATGTGTGTTAACCTACTGCTATTCATTTGTGTTTACCATTTCTCCTCTTCATCTCCTCTTTCTATTCACTCCAGTTCCTACAGCTAATGTATTATGGAGGTGTCACTCTGGCTTAAGACTCTGCCTCAATAAAATGTATTTAATTCTTTTTGTAAGCAAGAAAATGCCTTAGGGGCCAGATGGCTAATGTATACGTAAGATAGACTCGTATATGCAACAGTATAAAGTGGGAGAAATTGTATTTATATTAGTAAATTCACATATTCTTTAAGAAAATTTAGGTTTAAATTAAAAAGTAACACCATGCTGATCAAATGAAATAAGCTTACAAGAGCACCAATTTTACTTCCATTATAGTATGCATTCAAAAGTAAAATTCTACTGACTCTGAAGTTTGCCTTTGTCAGAATAGCTATTACTTTTGGATCCCTCTTTTCCTACTGCCTCTTATGCAATTTCTTGAAATTCAGCAATATGCATTTTCTATGTTATTTTGATTCCCCTGGTCTTTGTGCTGAGAGTATTTTTATTCAATTCATTGTATCTGGAAACCTTGCAGTAGAGGACTGAAGTACGACATGAACTTTCTTAGATCATAGTTGTGTATATTCTACTGGACTATTCATCAAACCCTGGAGAGTCTTATTTCTTACTGTAATTTTATTCAAAAATTTTCTTTACCTTGTTTCAGAAATACTTAGTCAGCATTGTCTTTGAATGTCAGTCCTCAATTCATAGGAGCACTTCATGCACTTTGATTACATTTCTAATGGTTAGTCTGTAAGTGAATTGATTTGCTGCTCCATGATTTCAAGATCAGCATGACTGAAGTCCTTGTCAAGTGCTGCTCATTGCTGTTGCCTTGTCTTTCGACCTCCGGTCTCATTAGGGCACTTCACTAATTTAGGAAAGAATTTGAAGCAGTTGCTGTGAAGGAGATAGAATAATATTTTTAATTACCTTTTGAAACCAAAGAAAAAAATTTCCTTCTGTAATTTCCCCATGTGAACTTAATTTACTATGAGTTTTTCTACATAGCTGAGTAGTGTCAATTCTAGATGTTGCCTTGCATCATTGGTGAAATTTCTTAAGAAATCAAATTTTAGCTCAGATTTAGCAGTCACCTTTTTAGAACTAGCAGATATTTAAGAGATTTGAATTTTCTATAATTCCCTTCTGGGCTTAACAAATTATTTAACCAATTGCACATGATCTTATTAATCCGAGAGGACTTGTTTGAAGGCTGTTTCTTTTAAAATGCTGCTTTATTAATAATATTTATACATATTTATGGCCTACAGTGTGATATTTCAATATATGAATACAGTGTATACTGATCAAAGCAGGGTAATCAGCATTTCCCCTTTCTTTGCCTGAAATTTGTTTTCTTTATTCATACAGTACATATGAGATTATTGTGAACTATGGTCTCCCCACTGTATTATGTAATACTAGGAACTTACTCCTTTGAATTCAGT